AAAAAAACAATAAAACCCCCACCCCCCCCCCCCCCACCCATACGCGGAAGCGTTGTGTCACCCAGTTGTAAATGATCTGGCTACGCCCCTGGTGGAACACTTGTGTAGCAGGGATCAAAATTCCACCATTCATCTGGGCGAACTTTTCCCCGGCTTTGAAAGGTCGTGAAGTTGCGTGCAGTTTGGTCGTTTTTGGTGGCAGCCGCTCCGCTGCGATGGAGGCATGTCCAAGGAAGGTGGAGACTCCTGCTCAACTTCCTGCACAATACTCTTGAAGCACCGCCAGGAGACAAGAAGGGAGGCTGCTGCTTGGGCAAGGGCGAATGGATCTACGGCTCTCTGTTTTCCCCTAATTACAACCACATCGTAGTTGTTAACCGTTTATACGCCCATCTTCTTGGCTTGTAGCTCTCGAGTTCGCCGCAAACCTGCCGAATAATCGATTGGCAACGTTTGGTAGCCAAGGCGGCGCAAAAGGAAAGGAATGGGTGAGTTTTCCATGATGTGGCGCTTGTGTCGTTTGCGTGTGCTTTCACAATTGCCAAACGTTGCTTTTGGCCTCAACGTGCACAAGTCAAGCCCCGTGAAGCATTCGAGCCTCACGTCGATGCCTTAAGTCACGCCGTGAGCGTTTGAAGAACGGTGGTTAAAGTAAGCAATCCACTTAGGTTAGCTTAGCCTGGGAGGAATAGCGAGCTAGCAAACTCAAGCGAATAAACGCCTCCTCCTTGCCTGCATTAACTCGCTATGTGGACGTAAACAATCTAAAAAAAAAAAACCAACTGCTGCCGCCAACGTGTCTAAATCGCGATCTGCAGTTAAGCCACCGATCAACAAAACAGATTTTTTTTAAATGTCTGAACTAAATTGTGTGAAGTTGGCTGTGGACGTGAGTTTCCACCCACTTTTATGATCAGACGACGCATATTAATGTGGCCATGTACATGCGGGCAAGCAACTCTGCTTCTCAAATTGATTTATTGGGTCGTTTGTGTGAATGGCAGCGTTCATCTTGAAATTATGCTTCGCGTGTAGTTGTGTGGTTACGGTCTTACCACGTAGGAATAAATGATCAGTAGTGTCACTCGAGAGTTATGACAACAGAATATGCACTGATCAGATCGATCTATCTATCTATGGATGTCTGATCACACCACTGTATCGAAATCTACACAAAACTATTATGCTTATAGTTTATTCTCTTGCTATTTTGTCCTGATGTTTTCGTCAGTGACGCGTTTTCTTAGTTTGTTAAATTGATTTGGTGGCAGGTTGGGTTTTATGAGCTGCTTCACACCTAACGCGACCCTTTCTGCACCGAATTATGCAACCTTCCTACCGCATCTCTTGAGGCGAGGATGTGTGCTTTTGGAAGACGTGCATGTGGTTGTGCGCAGTTCAGCTTTGCTATGTTGCAAAACAGGTTTTAAACCTGACATGGTTGGCAAAGGGTATTTTCGAAAGATTACTGGTCTTCGCGTGTATTCTTGTCCAACTGGTACAAAAATAATGTACAATATACAAAGCGCTACTTGAAAATGGGTTTAAAAATTCCTCAAAAGTGCAAGGAATTAAAAAAAAAAGTCTGACTTTGGGTTTCTTGATGAGACCATTTTGCTTTTTCTTTCAAAATGTTCTAAAATGATTTGCAATAACTTGCAAACTGATGACAAAAATGTTGATATTTCACAGAAGCATGTTTGTTACTTGTGTAGTAAGCAGAATAGTGTGATGATTTTCCACTTCAACCTGTCAGACAGATTTTGCTGGATTCACACACCTCTAATTCACACAAAAAGTCTGGAGTAGCTCATTTGTTTTTCTTTTCATGTCCTGTCTGACTTGAGCTCATGTTTACATTTGAAACAACCCACACACAAACCAAAATGAGCTGCTATCAAAACAAAAGTGACAACATGGGCCAATAACAACACATAGGCAAACAGATATTAAATGTATAGCGTGAATGTGGATCGTTTTGACAGTAGTGTTTGACAACATACACGAAAAACGTCACAGTACCTTGGAATAAGCACAACTTTTTGAAATTTGTTTCGGCACTGGTGTTCATTTAAATCCCACGCTCTAGTTTTTCCCAATTGGATTGGAGAAAGTGGACTTCTCACTCAGGTATGCTTTTTCTCGGTTGGCAGCTGGCTGAGGGGATTTTCGGCTGTGTTTGAACATGTCTGTGTGTGACTCTGTATTAGTCTCTCTCTCTCTCTCTCTAGCTTTGATGGCCACACACTAATGACTAATAAACAGTATATAAAATTGCGGTTGGAGGATGAAAATACAATCACTGAATATGTCTGTGTAAACAATCTGTTTAGTGATTCAATTCTCTTTTTTGTTTCCTTATCACAGACATTGTTGCTTGTTTGTAGCCGCGCGTGTTTGATTTGCTCTCAAAACAACTGATTGTGGATTCAAGTCAAGAAAAGTCACGTTGAGTTGGCTAAATTTAAGCCATGAGGTTTATGAAATGTCCACATCATGACAGACTGCGATGCGTGAAAGCGAATGCGAGGCGTAGACTTCCGGCTTTCATCCAGACAAGCAGCTGCGCATGTTCTTGTGGCCTGTAATCTCCCCGCGCATTACCTTGCACATTGACGACGACTCAAAGCGGGAACGACTGTGACGACTTGACAACATCTCAAATGAATTATTTCCGTGGTGTATCGCTTTGATATTCGCACTTGCGCCATCTTGTTTCCCTGCTCGCGTTGCATTGTTGCCATACAAATCGCTGAGTAAACATCGACGCCCTCCATTTATTCTCCGTGGGCACCCCGACAAAATGGCGTAACCCCTTTACTAGCGCACTACATCGGGTATAGTGTGCACATTTGGACACAGCCAGGGTTAGCGTTACATCACATCAACGTTGCTCTGCGCTCAAGTCTCCCCCGCGCCGGAAGTTTCAGTGCACTGCGACATCGGACGTGGAAGTGCTGCCTGCATGCATGCAGTAGTCCATCGCGCCGTCGGGCGACATGCCTGTCAATTGTGTGCCATAAAAGCAGCCTGACAGTGCAGTATTGATTTCTTGGTTGATTGACAGTTTAGAAGTGTCTTAATAATTGGACTGGTTTTCTGGGACACCTGCCAAGACGACTGAACAACACAATCCTGCCACTTTCCCAGCCACCTGAGAGCGAACATGCAATGAAAGCCAAATGCCATCTGACCTTGAATAGGTCCTAGTCTGCTTTTCCTTCATTGTCAAATGCAACAGCCTGAGCAGTCATTTGATGCCACAATATGCGTGCCGCTACCTGTCTGCATTACACTGACAGGAAGGCTTCTGATTCATTTTTTTGTCCGTGTTCAATGTACCGTATTTTGAAAGACATTTCCTCTGAGGAACAAACCAAGAACAGCCTTCTCGCGGCTATGTCAGAAGCTGACACTTTGTGGGCTTGAAGGTCAACCATGAGGGTCAACTTTGCATTCGCTATCAATCATACTACGTTGTTACGACAGCGAATCGATGGAGTGAACAACGGTTTTGGTTTAGATTTTTCATGAACCAGTCAATTTTTTTTTTCTTCAAACCAACGCACGCAGAGATCTTATCTGCCTCGCGGTTCATGAAACCCACAGCTAGTTTGAAATGACTGCACACCGATTGGGCTCAAACACTGAGCAGCCGAGATATTTGACAATGGCGTATTGCTACATGCACTAGGACTAGTTTTTCAGGTAGGTACAAGAACATTTCCATCACCGGGAATGTTGTGTTTTCACCGCCATTTTTTTGTTTTTATTATTATTATGGTAAGAGACGGAGTGGAACATAGAGTGTGGTGAATAAACAAGTAGAAAAATGGATGCCATGATACTTCTGTGTCAGTCAAAGTGTGACATTAAACCTGAGGTGCTACTTGATCACGCCGTTGCTTACTTGGCTTTACCCGCCGTGCCGCGCCACGCGCCGGCTCCTCCGCTGCAGCCTCTCAGCTGGAGTCAAGAAGCCCGGAGCAGAGCAGGCGGCAAGGCTTGCGGACACGACCCTCTGCCAAAAAAAAAAAAAAAGCAGACGGATTCATCGGTTGGACCCTTGTCACTATATTGTCTTCAGTTCCAAAAAAAAATACATCATTCTCCATCTCTCTGCCTCCATCATGTTGACTATTTCCTGGAAATATTACATTTATTCAAGTTATTCGATTAATCTAGTACTTAATCAATCTTCATTCATTTCCAATGTCTATTTTATATCGTGTTACGTCTGCTATTTTTCATTTTCGTGTGTTTGAACCCTCCACGTCGCATGAGTTACGGCTTCCTCCGTTTTTCACTTGGCCTCCCTTTTTTTTTTTTTTTTTTCCTCTCTCCGACCTCCTTCCTGTTGGTCTCCGGAGCAGAGGTGGTGGTGGAGTTTGACTACGAAGCGCTCCATGAGGATGAGCTGACCTTGCGAAAGGGGGACCTCATCAAGAACGTGTGCTGCATACAAGAGGATGGCTGGATGGAGGGAGATCTCAATGGGAAAAGAGGACTCTTTCCGGACAACTTTGTGAAGGTAAGAGCAGGCGAAAAGACGCTATCTTATTTCTTTGTTGATTCTAAATGAGCCGGCATCTATAAAATCCGCTTTGCTTCGTCCGATATTGACCTCGTGTTGCCTTGACATCTAGTTGACGGGGGTGTATTTGAGTTCAAGGTTCAAGTCACGACAATCCCTTCCCTGCACATTTCTAACGTGTCCAATTGATTTACCGTAGGCAGGGACATTTTATGACTTTACCACCAGAGCCATTTGACTTGGAGATTTTCTCTCACTGAGTTGCACCATGACCGTCGTCTACCTCTGCAGCGTCTGTCTGCTGCTTTTTCCCCGTCGTTTAATCCTTGATAGTCAAACCGCTAATCTGCGACGACGACCGGGTCCGTCACCGCGCTTGGATAGATAATCTGCTAAGAAGCGGGACCTGGCGGTTTTTGAACTTTTTTTGAGGCTACCGCTATCCGAGAAGCTGTTCGTCACACCCCGGCTCCCTTTTTAATTGCTATTCCTGCCGAACGGCACGGGGCAGGAGACTTGCCTCGGGATGAAATGGTAAGAGATTAAACTTCGCTCTGCCAGGACCGGGATTAGCTGCCATGGATCTTCTTAAAGTATCCTCGGGTAACGTGACCGCGGTTCTTTTGCCTGGATCGTGATTCTTGGTCTTCCCTTGTCACTTTGGACAGCTGCACGACATAGCATTGAAAAAGGCGGTCGACTGCGTAACTTGGTGAAAGGCACCCCAATTATTCACACGCACACGTAGAATCTGTGAGGGCCGTCGCCGAATCATCTGTCGGGTTATGTTTGCATAGCGGGAGCAACGTTGGCGCACACACACTTACAAAGCGCAAGCGAACCGAACTTCCTATTTAATGGAAGTGCTAAGTCAGCGTGAACCAGGAAGCGGGTGGTAAACCCAGCCATTGTTTAGCGAAATAGAATGTTCCCGCACTGACACTGTGGTTGTCTCGGCTTCAATTTGGGACGGTTTGCCCGTGTTCCCGCCGCCGTGCTGGTATACCCTTGAGTCACCCACCTTCAATTCAAACGATGTCAGCTGGTTCAATATTTGATTTTATCGATGAACATTTGATGATGCTCATTTTGTTTTCCTGACACGCGTGATTCCAAAATGGACTTTTGAAGGAAAAGCCGTTCAGGGAATGGCTGGATGGAGAAAGAGAACTTTTAAGGAATACGGCAGAGCCCGGGAAAGGCGTTGACATCACTTATCATCATCGATGAATTGCCGTTGTCATTGTCTGTTGTGTCGAATGATGTCACTGGCACGCTTTAAAGAGTGACTGCAATGACAAAACAACCCCGCACGCGCAAGCAGTTGGTAACAGAGGCAAGAAAAAAAAAAACAACAACTCACCAACTGTAAAAAAAAAAACTGTGGGGCGGCCATCTGCCTCGGCTAGTTGGGTTGAGCTCAACAGGTCAGTTAGCGGGACAGAAGGTAGCTAGAGAGAAAAAAAAAACAGGATAAAGG